CTGCCCCCACCAGGAGGGGCTGTCCCCCCCAAAACGGGCAGGGGGAGGTGGCACTCTCCCCCCTGCCCCCCCTCGCTTTCAGTACCAACAGCTCAAGCAGGAGCTGGAGAGACGCTTCCCAGGCGCGCTGCAGGTGGTGAGTTTTAGGGGGGGCAGGGACGACGACATGGCGGGGGGGCTGTCAGCCAGGGCCAAGGTGACCCCTGCCCCCCCCCCCGTGTCCCCACAGAGCGGCCAGGGGACGCGGGAGGTGACAGGATGGTTTGAAGTGACGGTGGGCGGCCGCCTGGTCCACTCTAAGAAGGTGGGTGACACTCCCCCCCCCACCCCAAGAAGGTGGGTGAAACCCCTGCCCCCAACCTCAGCGTCGCTGGTGCCTTGCCGGGGTGCACCAACAACCCCGGCACGCAACGCAACCGTTCTCCCTCCGCCAGAACGGTGACGGGTTCGTCGACAGTGACGCCAAGCTCCAAAAGATCATGGCCGCCATCAAAACCCGCCTGTCCTAGGCGTCGGGGTCCGCCCCGGCACCCCTAACGAAGGTACGGTATTGTCGGCGATCCCGACGGCACCACGCCGGCGTCGGGATGTCGCCAAATCCGCCCTCTCCTCCCACAGCTCCACTGGCGACCGCCTCCCTCGCGTCGGCCGAGCGCTCCATGACGGGAACCGCTGAAACGTCCACCGGCACTGGGCTGTTTCCAGACACCGCGCAGGATGTCGGCGCGAGGGCGGCAGGCGGCCGTCGAGCTTCACTTCCCCCCCCACCCCGGCTCCTTTCCCTCTGCACTAACCGCCTTCACCGACGCTCCTATTTTCAGCCAGGTCGAGCTTGGTTTGGTTTGGGTTTTTATTTCCCCCCCCGCTGCTAATCCGCACAGGAAGCTTTCGCCGAGCCTGCCAGGCTGAAAAATAGGGAAAAAAAGCTTCAAAACCGAAGTTATTCCAGCAATTTAATTCTTTTTCCCTCTCTGCCCAGTGGCAGCTGGACCCCAAACTCCCACCCCAGCGTTCCGGTTGCCTTCTGTAAGTCTCTGGTGGCTCGGTGGCCTTTCTGGAATAAAGTTGTGGAAAATTTGAGCCAGGCCAGGGGGTTTTTTTGGGGGGGGAGGGCACGGTTCGGCGTGGATGTTTTGCCAAGCGGTGCCCTGGGGTGAGGCAGAAGGGTCCCACCTTGACCTGCTGCAGGTTTCCCAGGGCCTAACCAACTCTTATCCCCTCCTTTGGAACTTAAAAATTAAGACCGCCCCTGGGTCGCAGATCTCTCCCAGCGACTGTCGCTTCTCTTAGCAGCGGACGTGTGCCCTCTGGTGACGACGGCGAGGAGTCAGGCAGCCAAGATTTATCCCCTCGCCTCGTTTTTTTCCACCCACCGCTCCATGGCGATGCTTTAAATTCACACCTTCGGCTGTACCGAGCGACCGCGGACAAGCGTGAGAAGAGAATTTGGCAAAAGGAGTCTGACCGGTGCTGGCAGGTGGATTAAAGCTAGGATTAAAGCTCCTCCTTCCCACCATTTGCGCCGGTGAAGCGTTGCGGGTGCTGAAGCGACCTGTGTGAAATGGCGAAGGTGTATTTAGGGGGTAAAACCAAAGGCCGGACGCTCCCTTGGGCTGAGGGGGTGACGATGGTCTCTCCCTCGCTCGTCCTCCTGAGGCTACTCAAGGCAAAAGGAGGGGGGAGGGAGACTGGGGCGGGGGGGAAGCGTACAGAAAATCGGTCTGGCTTTAATCGAGGGCTCGTACCGAGGTGGACACCTGGTCCCGGGGCTCAGAAGCCGCCCCAAACCCGGCGCCGGGCCGTTCCTCTCAGCGGGTCACAAGATGGCGCCGGCCCGCCTCACCTCAGCCGACCTCCCTCCCCCGCCTCTTCCTCCCCGCTTCCGCCCCAACCTCCGCCGCGGTGCATGACGGGTAAAGAGACTCCGCCGGGAGCCCGCCATTTTCTGCCGGGAAAGGCGGGAAGGGAGCGAGTGCACCGACAGCGTTACCCCGCGACCCCCACCCCCCCAACCCCTCAACGGTTCCAGCATCGCCGCCAGCCGGGCACGCAGGTAACGGCGGTGCGGGGCCGGGGGCGGGGGTCGCTGCCCGGTAACGGCGCTCCGGGGAGGGAGGGAGAGCGGAGAGGACGGATGGGGGGGGGCGGCCCGGCCCGGCGCCGAGGTCGTCTGAGGAGACGCTTCTCCCTTAGTCCCGCCTTCCGTCTGCTGCCGGCCGCTGGTTGGCTGAGGAGGGAGGGGGCTCTGATTGGCTGAGGTGCCGGGAAGATGATAGGTCGAGAGGCGCGTCCGTCTAGGGGGAGGACTCGGCGGTACCTCCCCGCTGCTGGCAGCGTGCGAGCTCGTTGGCTGAGCGCCGCCAGCCAATCAGCCGGGCGGGGGGGGGGGGGGGAGGGGCACGTGACGCAGCGCGAAGGCTTCTGGGAGTTGTAGTCCGAAGGCCCTGAGGGGACCGGGTCGGGGGGTTAGTCGTTCTCCCCCAGCCCGGCGCTGTCAGTCCATGGGGGCTCGCCCGGGTCCGGGCCCGGGCCCGGCCCGGCGGCGTGATCCGCTGGCCCGGCATCTCTCCCTCAGCCCGGTGTCCACCTCAGCCCCCGAGGTCGAGGGGGTAGCCCCCTCACCTCCCTCACAGAAGGGGGCTGAGGTCCGGCACGGGCAGCCGGCCACCCCTCAACCGCTAACGGCCGGTCTCGCCCTTCACTCCCCGGCCCTGGAGCCGACTCCAGTGCTTTCTCGCTCCCTCGACAGACTCTGACCGTCTGGCATGGCCCGTACCAAGCAGACGGCTCGGAAATCCACCGGCGGGAAGGCGCCACGGAAGCAGTTGGCCACCAAAGCTGCCAGGAAGAGCGCACCTTCCACGGGGGGTGTGAAGAAGCCCCATCGCTATAGGTACCGGGATCGATGTCACCCCCCAGTGGGCAGGGGTAATGGCAGACTGGGGCTCGGGGTCCCCTGCCCATGGCCGCAGGCCCTCCCCCGGCTGCACGGGTGACTCGACGCAGAAAGGGTGCAGTGTTACAGACGAGAGCGATTTTGATCACGTTAACTGCTGAAATCCCTTGCAGGCCCGGCACGGTGGCTTTACGGGAGATCCGGCGATACCAGAAATCCACGGAGCTGCTGATCCGCAAGCTGCCCTTCCAACGCCTGGTACGGGAGATCGCGCAGGACTTCAAGACCGACCTGCGTTTCCAGAGCGCTGCCATCGGGGCGCTGCAGGTGAGAACCCCCGTCCCACACAGTGCCACGATACCCGAGGGGTGGGGGAATATCGGGGCCACGTTAAGTCTCCCCAGAATGTTCCCCCTTCAGTTAAACACCTTGTAAGTCCCCCCCTCCTTGAGGCTGCGGTTCTCTCCCGGCAGGAAGCCAGCGAAGCGTACCTTGTGGGCCTCTTTGAGGACACCAACCTCTGTGCCATCCACGCCAAAAGGGTCACCATCATGCCCAAGGACATCCAGCTGGCGCGTCGCATCCGTGGCGAGCGGGCTTAGGGCAGCCAGCGCTGGGCGGTAGGAGAGATTTGGGGTGGGATGGAGGCGGGGGGTGGGGTGC